ATTCTTCATCCGAGAAACTTTCCATCTTTTCAACATATTAGTCGCCGAAGACTGATGCATTTCAGGTGTGTGCGAACAGACGAACGAATAGTTCTGTGACCAGACGGGACCGGTTCGACGCCGGACTGTGACAGGACTGATGTGTTTAAGTCGACCTTTAATCGACATAGTTTTCATCAAGCAATTCCTACTTTATTGATAGTCATAGTCAGACTATGTGGTCTATAACAGTTTGGGGTAGTATTGTTGGGGACTATGTGATGGCCCAAATTTTTTTGACGGCCGTGCAAATAATGCTATATATCTGGATTTTCTGAACAATTTTATTATTATTTTGCAATTGCCAATATTACCATTTGCAATTATTACTGCATTTAATATTCGACAAGGAATGTGGTTTTTACGTGTCTGTGCTTCAGTTTGGCCACCGCGATCACCGGAATTGTCAAAAATTAATTTTTCATGTGAGGCAATATAAAAAAAACCCTCCATAAAGATATCAAAAACAGAATAAGAGAAGCTTTTAATAAAATTTACTTATAAATGTTAGGAAATAAAGTAATGTGTCTCCGATATTTGAGTATCGGTTACAAACTTGCATACGTTGGAGGTGGACAATTTAAACATTTACTTTAGACTTATTTTCTTAATACCACATTCATTGCATATTGTTACAGTTTATATTATCTATTAGCTATTTACTGATATTCCCGAAATTTAAACAAAAATAAAAATATCTCAAAAAGTGAGGAGTATAGGGAATGCTTCATAAAAATGCTTCTCTTTTTAACAGCTCAGTGTCGTCCGAATAAACCATGTTATTTACAACTTCTCCGTTGATGATTATACCTTCCTTTGCATTTGATAGAACTTCCTGACAAATTTATTCATTACAGACGCTGAACATGAGTGGAGACAATTTATATCACTGGCTCACTCCTCGTGTAACACTCGCTTCATCTTATATTTCAGTTTCTATTATTATGTTTGCTTTTTGATTCCAATAGAAATTCAACATTATTCATAGATCTTTATTGTCTATGCCTTTACTCTCAAGGATTTCCGTATTCTATCGTATTCCCTGTCGAAAGCTTTTCCAGTACATGAAACAAACATCTCGATTAACATCTAGACATCGTTGTGTCAATTTCCACTTCGGAAATCGTTCTCAAAATACAAACAGTAAATTAAACAAATTTTGTTTTTTTGTTACATGTTATGATGTTACATGACATTTTTTGTTACATGTTACATTTTTTTAATAACGAAACATATAAAATCAGAATTTTGGTGTTATTGAATTGAAGGTAAACTAAATGCACGAACAAATATTTACCATGTCGGGATAGTATTATGAGTTTTTTTCCTGGTTTTTCCCTCATAATTTACTATGGAATCACTAACAGGAGAATTTTACTGTCATCATGTCATGTGTTTGTCTTTTTAAAGACGAATTACATGCTATGATTTTTTTTTCTGACGGATAATCTCAAGTTAAAGTTGATTTCATGTAATCGAATGACCTATCTTACAAGTAAAGTCGTCCCAGGAACGTAACTCAACAATATTGGCAATATCATTTTAAAGTCATCTACTTTAAAATGCATAATGCATGTCTGAATTGTCAATATAAATGAGTCAGATAAAATTAAATTATTAGAAGAATTTTTCACTATGTAACAAAAAAACAAAATTTGTTTAATTTACTGTTTGTATTTTGAGAACGATTTTCGAAGCGGAAATTGAAACGTCAATAAACGTATTTTTTTATCTTTAATTGTGGCGTATTTCCAGTTAAAGAGTAATTAATTTAAAATGCCACAAGAAAATAGCTTCAGAACAATATTGTTGTGTCAGTACAGACCTGTGTCAGTTTATAGCAAACAGAGCCCCCCTGGTGAACCACTCTTTTCTGGATCTCATTTGTGTATCGTTTATATTATGTTCTAACTTCTAATAAATGCGACTGTGAATGCTATGCATGAAATCCAAACATCTCTAAAAACGGGCCCAACTTCCGTATATAAATATAACCTTAAGTCATGTCATCTAGTCCTTCACGAGCTGCCACATATAGTCGTCTACACTCTGGAAGTGAGTGTCTGCCTTATACTTCCTTCAAGACTATGAGGCTGTTTGCTGGATTAACAAATTATATTTCATTTTTAATGTATTGTCTTCCTTAAGACAGTCTGTAAAATAAACCACTCATAGATGAAGAGCTCTGCAGTCATTCGAGGCAAGAATCGGGGAACCGATCGTTTTTTGCCGACGAGATGATAGTCAAATGAAACTTTAATAAATAATATAAAACTTTTTGATGAATTTGATTACATTCTTCTTCTTCTAGTTCCATGACCGTTATCGATCGTTGGATATCATGTTGGCTACCATATTCGCTATCGTGACTTTATTGACAGCAGCTCTAAATAACGATGTACTTGATTTTCCATACCATTGCCTTAGATTTTTCAGCCATGATGTTCTTCTTCTACCAGGACCACGATTACCTTGGATCTTTCCCTGAATGATCAGATGTAAAAGATCATATTTTTCAGGGTGTCTCATAATATGACCGAAGTATTCCAGCTTGCGTTTCTTTATTATATTGACCAGTTGTGTTGTTTGGTTCAGCCGTCTAAGGACATCCCCATTTCTAACTCTGTCGACCCAGCTTATTTTCAGTAGTCGTCTGTATACCCACATCTCAAAGGCTGTCAAGCGTTTAAGCATAGCCTCAGTTAGGGTCCACGCTTCTACTCCATACAGCAGGACAGGAAAGATGTAGCAAGATATCATACGAACTCTAAGGTCAATGCTAAGATCGTGACTGCAAAGTACGTTTCTCATTTTTACAAAGGCAGCTCGGGCTTGTTCTATTCGGCTTTTAATTTCTGCGGTTGGATCCCAGCTCTCATTGATATTACTGCCGAGATACACGAGTTTCTCTACTCTGTCCAGTGTGGCATCTCCGACTTTTATACCGTCATCATGTATATAATTTTGTTTGCTAACTATCATATATTTAGTTTTCTTAACGTTGAGTTTTAATCCATACTGATCACAAGTCTGTTTTATTTTGTTCATTAGATTTTGAAGGTCTTCTCCGCAATTGGCAAGGACTAAGGTATCGTCGGCATATCTAATATTGTTGACGGTTACTCCATTCACAATAATACCTTCGGTTGTCTCCATTAAGGCTTCCTTAAATATTTCCTCCGAATATAAGTTAAAAAGTAAAGGCGACAATATACAGCCTTGTCTCACTCCTCTTTTTATATTTATTTCATCCGACAGTTCTTGTTCAACCTTTATTCTTGCCACTTGATGCCAGTATAGATTTGTAATTATTCGTAGATCTTTATCGTCCAATCCAGCTGTTTCCAATATTTCTAGCATTTTGTTATGTCGGACTTTGTCAAAAGCTTTTTCAAAATCGATTGCACAAATATACACATTTTGATTTATATCTCTGCATCTCTGTACTAGCACCTGTATACTAAACAAGGCTTCTCTTGTACCCAAGCCACTCCTAAACCCAAATTGAGTATTGCTAATTCTGTCCTCTTAACAGCGTGTAAATTCTGCTGTGTATTACTCGCAGAAATATTTTCAAAACGTGACTCATCAGACTTATTGTCCGATAATCACCGCATGTCTTTGGACGATGTTTCTTAGGTATTGTGACAAATGTCGACTTTAACCAATCAGTTGGTAATATCCCAGTGTCATAAATTCTGTTAAAGAGATTACACAGAGCTTTAATTCCATTTTCTTCCAAAAATTTTAGTATTTCAACACTTACTTCATCGGGGCCAAGTGCTTTTCCATTTTTTGCCGTTTGTATTGAACGTCTTACCTCACTTTCTGTTATAGATGGACCTGATATAGCAATCGGTGTATAGTGTTCTACTCTCTCATCTTCAAATAATTCAGAAATGTAGTATTCCCATTCTTTTAACTTTTCATTGATGTCTAATATTCTGTGTCCGTTTCTGTCTTCTAAACTTTGGGATAGTTGTTTCCATTTGTTTCTAGCGACCTCTTTCAATTTCTTGTGCAGATGAAATGTATCGTGTTTCTTTTCATATTGTTGAATTTCATTACATTCTTTACTATGAAATTGTGTTTTCGCGTGTCTTATCTTCTGCTTGATTATTGCGTGGATCCTCTTGTATTCGTTTTTATCTTTATTTCTGACTTCTCTTCTTTGATCCATAAGTCTCAGCATTTCTTCTGTCATCTACCCTTGTTTTTTTCTTGCTTTTAGCGCACTCAATTTTGTTTCTTGGAACAGTCTTTAAGATGTCTTTAATTCTCGTCCAGTTTTCCTCAGTACTTTCTTCTTTGCTTGATGTTAACTTCATCTTTTGTTCTAATATACTAGTTATTTCTTGTTTTACAGTATTATTTAGCATCGTTTCTCTATCAATAGTAACTGTTTGCTTATTCGTCCTTGTAACTCTTTTTAATCTCAGTCTTATTTTTCCTACTAAAATATTGTGATCTGTTGGTACATCTGCCCCTGGATATGTTTTTACTGATAATACTGAATTTCTGTATCTCTTATTTATACATATGAAGTCTATTTGGTTACGAAAAACTCGTTCAGGTGTATCTGCTGGTGATTTCCAGGTGTAAAGACGACGTTTTGGAAGTTTGAAAATTGTGTTCATTATTACTAATTGCTTTTCTACGCAAAAAGATGCCAACATATCTCCTCATTCATTTCGTATTCCCAGACCATATTTCCCTATGACATCTTCCTGTTCACCTGATTACATTACTGACCAATAACTCCCCTACATATGTTACAAGAGTAACCAAAGGGGTATTTTAGACTATTTTATTTTATTGAGAATGGCGTTTTAAAGAAATCAACCAAGTATACTTAATGTTATGTTAATGTACTATACGTAATATAATATAATAACTAGTATTATTTTCAATAATGTAATAACTTTATTTGCAAATTCTTAATGACATTGTTTTATTTTTAGAAATAAACGTAAGTTTCGCAGACAGAACCCGTATGGGCTTCATCCGTAGAACGGCCTGGTATTTCAGCTTAGGCTACGACGTTACTGATATGCTGTTTTCAGACAAAGCTTTTCAGTCGATTATAAAATCCGGCGAAAAATTTGATCTGGTGATAGCAGAATATTTAGCTAACGAAGCTATTGTTGGAGTGGCTAAAGTATTCGAAGCTCCTATAATTTTGGTATCTCCCACACCATCTTCGACGCTGATGACCGATTTGTTTGCTGCTCCAGCACCACCGTCCTACGTACCCAATCCGCTTACAGCTCACACTAGCGACATGAGTTATTTCGAACGAATAAATAATTTCATGTGCAACATATTTGTTGAGAGGTATCAATATATTCTAGCCCTACCTTGGCAACAGGACTTACTCAACAAATTTATAGATCCCAAACTTAGTCTTAGCGATCTCGTTGAGAATATAAGTCTAATATTGTTGAATTCGCATCCAATTGTCACCGAAGCTGTACCACTTACACCTAATATGGTAAGTAAACCTTTTATATTTTGAAAATTTGCAAATTTCAACATCATCAGTGAAGTAAAATCTGTACCATTAACAATCTTTTGCATGGCTATTTCTCAACAGTTTGATTACAAATTGCGAATACTTACTTTAATCATTACATCAAAAAGGTCCTTTTGATATAATAAATTTAAATTTTGATGACTTTTTCCAACATTTGTGACCGTATAATACCTTCCAAGTGACTTACATATCGCCACAGAAAATAGTCTAGCGGTGATAAATCGAACGATCTTGGAGACCAATACACGAGTCTGAAACGTGAAACTATGCGGTTAACGTACATGTTGTGCCGTAATCATGGTTCTATGGCCGTTACAATCGACTCTAACGTTCTGGCCAGCATCGTATTTGAAAAAGTATGGACCAATGATTCCACCAACCCATAAAGCACACCAAACAGTAAGTTTTTCTGGATGTAATAGTGTCTCAACATGCACTTGATGATTATCTTCACTCTGATTTTGAGCCCAATCACCGAATCTACGCCTTTCTAGATGATCGTATAGCTTCAATTCTTGCACGAGTTGGATTTTGTAAGCAAGCAAACCAAGATATTTCCACAAAATCTTCCATAAAGTGGATGAACACGCATCCAACTGCCGTGCACGATGGCGGATATACTATTTGGAGTCTTCTTATATGCTACGCTCTACAGCAGCAACGACGTCTCTGTAAATGTATATTATCATTTAGAATAAACTTGGTGTGAAAACATTCCATGGTTAATTGAATTTAATTGTTCTGATCGACATGGTCGTATCTACAATAAATGTGAGGAATACCTGGATGACACTCAGTTTGGTTTCCGTAACGGATTTGGAACGAGAGAGGCACTGTTTGGAATGAACGTACTTGCTCAAAGATGTCGTGATATATCTGTAGACATATACTGTTGTTTTATTGACTTTCAAAAGGCATTTGATCGTGTTAATCACTCTATATTGATCGAAGCTCTAAAAGACATTGGCTTGGACGGCAGAGATGTTCGAATAATTGCAAATTTATATTGGAATCAAACAACATCAGTTTTAGTAGATGGTGTGGAATCACAAGCTCTCAATATTAAAAGAGGAGTACGGCAGGGATGCCTCTTGTCACCCCTGCTTTTTAACGTTTACTCCGAAAGAATTTTCAGAAAAGCACTTTCTGAAAAACAAGAAGGAATACTTGTGAACGGCGAAGTCATCAATAATTTGCGATATGCGGACGATACAGTACTCCTAGCTTCTAGTCAAGAAGATCTGCAAACACTACTTGATAGCGTCGTTGAGAGTTGTAGGGAGGCAGGTCTGGATCTTAACATAAGGAAAACCAAAATACTCGTAATAAGTAAACAACAGAATATAAAACCGTCTATATATGTAAATAATACCAAACTTGAGCAAGTTAATAAAATCGTCTACCTTGGACAGCAATTAAATTGTAATGCAGAAAATCACGGCGAAATTAGATCCAGAATAGAGCAGGCTAGAGCTGCTTTTAGAAGGATGTCCAAGGTGTTATGTAACAAAGACCTAAAATTGGCATTAAGGATCCGCCTACTTCGCTGCTACGTGTTCTCGGTCTTACTTTATGCTGTCGAGTCCTGGACTGTGAATAAAATCGATCTAAATCGCCTGGAGTCTTTCGAAATGTGGTGCTATAGAAGAATTTTAAAAGTTTCCTGGGTGGAGAAGATTCGTAACTCCACATTACTCGAACGTCTCAGCAAGACTACTGAGATCATAAAAAGCATCAAGCAGAGAAAGCTGGAATATTTCGGACATGTAATGAGAGGTCCCAAATATAGATTGCTACAAAATATCATGCAAGGAAAAATAGCAGGCAAACGCAGTCCAGGACGAAGAAGAACTTCATGGTTGAAGAACTTGCGAGATTGGTATGGTGCAGATACAAGCATGCTATTTAGGGTGGCAGTGAATAAAATTAAAATAGCTATGATGGTAACCAACGTTCTGAAAGGACAGGGTACATGAAGAAGAAGAAGATGGACGATTATGTTTACCATAAAATGGACGTAGTGTGTAATACGTATTTCGAACAGAACAATGATTTTTAAAATAAATTTGCACAATTGGGGAGCGTTGTTCGGTAGTCAGTCTCTTCATGCTGAAATTCCAAACCAAACTAAACATAAATCACGGGACTGCTGTCAAAATGGCCGCCAGTTAAAAAAGTGATGCCTACTTACATTTCTGTACCTCTAAAAAGCACCCGATATATTCCGAAGGCAGTTATTTGTAACCATATGAATTTACTGTTAACTACATACCGATACGGCAAGTTTTCAACTACCGTATACGTTATTCAGTATGTGGAACAAAGATAACACTTAATTGTGTGAATACGAGTGAGACACAATCCACGCATGTTGGAGTAGCGAGTCTAATTTTTAAACAGTGTTGCAAAATTTCTGTTACATAATTCCTTCTAAAACATTAGTCGCTTCCATGAGTGTAACATAATGTTTAAATCCACTACAGTTCGTTGTAGAATGAAAATTAATATTGCCCCAACAAAACTTATATGAAGTAATCATGTAACTGTTATTTTTTAAATGATTATATCATTACTTGATTAATTAACAAAGAACACTGAATTGAGAAATTGAGATGCGACAACAGCGTGAGCTAAATAAATAACGCACTTCAGTAGACAGGCAAATGGTATAAACGGTTTGCCCTCCCTACGATTTCCCCTCAAAAGAATAGGCACTGCTTATCTGTACAGCAGGTTTAAGGTCAATAAGGTAAGGTCTATTTCTTTGATTTTTAGCTGTCGTGGTAAAAGGTTGAAAACAAATAATTAACTAAATAATGTCAAGCGTATATTTTCAAGAAGAAAAGATTGAAATGGTGAAAGGGTATTATGGAAACCATTCTATTGTAGAAATAATACAGTTATTTATTGCTGCTTTTGAAAATCATCCAATTCCGACAGAGAAAACAGTACGATCAATTATTAAAAACTTTGAAAATTTCGGTTGCGTAAATACCTGTACGAAATGTCGTCCAAGGGATCAACCACGAGCGACACAAATCTCTCTTGAACACGAGGCTTGTGAAATGCAAGTTTGTTTAACTGCTGAAGAAATGCCTGGTTCGAGTAGACAAATTCCGGATGAAGTTGACCTAAAAGAGAGAACTGTAAGAAATAATTTATAAAGAAATATATACAATTGCTATAAAGTGCGAACCAGCCAAGAACTTTTTCCAGACGATCATTTTAAACGTATGGAATTTTGTGAAACTATGATAGAGAAATCGAATGAGGACAATAATTTTTTTAAAAATGTTTTTTTTTCGATGAATCTTCATTAACAATCCATAAACGTCATATTCCATCTCTCGTCCGCTATTGGTCTAGGGAAAATAATCATTTGAGTATTGCTGTGAAAACGCAATACCCAAAGAAATTAAATGTGTGAACTGGCATTTATAACGATAACATAATTGGTCCATTTTCTATTACGGGAATTCTGATTTGACGAAAGTATCTAGATTTATTACGCAACAGATTATTCCTGCAGTTCGAAACATTGCGGTCAACTTCGATAATGGGATTGTTTTTTGGGCCAATATTAATTTTCATTCTACAATGAACTGTAGTGGATTTAAATATTATTTTAGACTCATGTATCGGACTAAAATTTTAGAAGGACAGATGCAACAGAAATATAGCAACACTGTTTAAAAGTCATACCTACTCCTTCGAGATGGTAACTGCCTCTCACTTCTATTGAAACAATTAAGTCTTATCTTTGTTCCACATACTGAATAACGTATACGGTAGTTGAAAACTTGCCGAATCGATATATATATATATATATATATATATATATATATATATATATATATATATATATAGAGTTTGTACTCGATGGAAGATCAAATACTTACCTTTGCGCTAACATACCGAATTTTAACTGGTTTTCTCCATAATTTACAATATAATGACAATCAAATTTCCTTTGTTTGGAGTCACTTATATAAAACATGCTGACTAATTTTGTAATATAAAATTTTAGATAGAAGTTGGAGGTATGCACATATCGTTTCCTAAGAGAGTACCGAACCAAGCAGAAGGTTTTATTAACAATGCTCCCGATGGAGCAATCTATGTTACACTAGATCCCAATTTGAATCATTTTAATTATTTGGGACCCGACAGAGTGGCGAGAATCTTGGATATATTTGGCCGTTTTAAACAAAGATTTGTATGGAATTTACCAGAACCGCCAAAAGAGTATGACGAAGATAAGTTTATGTTTGTGAAAGATGTTGTTCATCAGGATTTTCTTGGTAAGTATTTCAGAATTACAACACTTCGTCACAAAAATCCCTATTATAGACAGTCAAATAGTCGTATATCAAAAATCTGAACCTCTGTAATAAATATAAGCCAGTAAAATGGGAAGATTTGAGGTGAGACGTAGAATAGAATAGAAATATGCTTTATTGTCACTAAAAATTGTACAATTTTATGGACAAAGCTTACAAAAAGTAAAAAAAATAACAATAGCAATTTAAAATTTACTAAACTTTAAAATTACATAAATCGTCAATATCACAAAATAAAAGATAATAAAATATAGAATCCATTGCAAAATTTAACTAAATTGCAAATTTCATTATAAAACCTTCCGAACTAAAAAGTTTAAGTTGCTGCATGTGATACCGAAATATATACATATATATATATATATATATATATATATATATATATATATATATATATATATATATATATATATATATATATATATATATATATATATATATATATATATATATATATATATATATATATATATATACTTTCTCAGAGTCTTCCACTTAATAATATAGTCTTTCAGATAGATAGGCTTTTTGTAGCGTTGCAGTGGACGGGATCCGTAAATACACATCAAAGGTTGAATTTCTGGTGGAGGAGTCATCATGATTAATTCTTGCTGGAAATACATGTAGGTGTTTACGAATTAAGCAAAAAGTTTCTAAAATATATAAAGAGGGAAGAGTTAAAATCCCGTGATTTTTTAAGTAGCTTCTGCAATGTGTTATTCTACTGAGGCCCGTATTGCTCTTTTTTATAATTTAAAAATAACATCAGATTGTGCAGCTGAACCCCAAAAAGGAAGGCCATATCGAACATGAGACTCGAACAAAAAAAATGTTATTTTGGAAGATGCTAAATTGATTTTCTTCGAAACAGATCCCATTGCATAGCAGGCTGAGGATAGATTCTCACTTAACAAATTGATATGAAGGGACCATTTAAGGTTGCTGTCTATAAAAATACCAAGAACTTTTACAGAATCAACGATACTGATCTGGCTGTTATTAAAAAGCACGGATTGAAGAGCTCCTTTATAGGCTAATGCTACTTTCTTATCCACGTTAAAAGAGAGAAAGTTAGAGTCGGACCAGGTTTTATTTTAAGTAGATCAGAAGTTATAGTTGCAATATTAAAGTTCCTCCAGGTAGTATTGGTATTATAAAGCTTTCTTTAGTCGTTGGACTAAATCAGCATTTCTTCCGGTAGAAGCTAATTCCCTGTCCTCAAGATGCCTTCTTAAATCCGTAACTGTGAGCTCATAAATCGTCACCATTTTCACAATTTCCACTATTCCACTTTTTCTTCTGACACCAATATAACGTCTTTATAGTTCTAATTTATTGTTCTTAATTTAATTTACTAAAGGTTCAATATTTATAACACTCACAAATTTATCAAAGTCTTTATTACTACTAATTTATTTTACACTTAATAAATATATTCATTAGAAATTTAAGTTAGAAACAAATTGATAATTGGTCTTACTGACCAGATTTTAATGTAAGTACACTTCGGTGTCTTTAGTAAAAAAAAATAAGTATATAATTTATCTACGTGCGATACAATTTTAAACCACGAGCGCGGGCTTCTTTTTGACTAACGGCTCTTGTTTACAACAAAATTTCTATTTAAATATAAACTACCGCTAGCCCAGAGTTCCCTAGAGCGGACGACGAACTTCTCGAGCAAAAAGAGAGTCTCATGGATTTTGATCTGAATTGCCTGGAATGAACTGGAACTCAGACTGGTTTTTTATAGCGGCCTGTATCGGAGGGGGTATCATCGTGTCAGGTAGGATTTACCTGAAATTTCTACCATCAGGTCAAATCTAGAACATATAAGAATTAAACAACATGTTTACAGGTTTTTTTAATATGACTAATTTTTACGTAACAGTATCATCAGCAAAAAGCAAAATTTTTCCATCGATTTTTAAGTTAGTGGTGTCATTTATAAAGATAAGGAAAAGTAGAGGGCCCAATACTGAACCATTTGGTACTCCATATACAATGATTTTGTGACTAGAGTCTGTATCATTTGCAAGTTGTTTCCCATTCCTCAAGTAAGATTGGGACCAATCCAAAGAAACACCTTGAATTCCGTAGAAATATAGTTTTTTTTAATCAAAGTGTCGTGATTTACACAATCAAAAGCTTTGGCATAGTCACAAAAAACAGTGACAGTGTAAAGATTATTTTTTTAGTGCTTGATAGACCTCATGTAGTACAAAAAGCATCACTGGTACATTTATTAGATAAAAAGCCGTACTGACTTTGTGATAAAATGTTGTTTTCAACGGGAAATGGCATAAGTCGGGCTTTTATAAGCCTCTTAATAATTTTGGATAGGACCGGTTGTAAGGCAATAGGTCTATAGTTGCAGACATTCGATTTTTCACCACCCTTATGAAGATGACTAATAATGGCTGTCTTTAGGAACTGGAAATATACCTTTTTTTAAGGAATCGTTAATTAGCGAGACCGGGACTTTCAACACATTTTTTTGGGAGATTTAGAAAATTTTTATGGATAGTCCATCAGTACTACAGGAAGATTTGCTTTTGATACTATTCATTGTTTGGATCAGTTCAGATTCATCAACTGGTCTTATAAAGAATGAATTCGAGACCTTTTTTAAATTGGGGAGATAGGAAATAGGATTTTTTTGTGGCAAAATAGTTGATGTTATATTTTTGCTCATACTAACGAAGTATTTATTTAGATTTTCAGGGTTTGGAAGAGAAAATGTTTGAGCTGTGTTAGTTTTGTTTCGAAAATCGTTTATTATGGACCAAGTTTCTCTTACAACATTTTAGAGCTTCCCAGACGATTCTGAGTATATTTTTTTAGCTGTTTTGATAAGTTTTAGATAGGTTCCTTTGTACTTGGAGATATATTTAGTGACAAAGATGTTGGAGTAAATTTCATGATATACAGTAGTGAATGCATATTCTTGGCTGATATGCGGATACCTTTGGTAGTTCAGGGTTTGTGATGTTTTGACTTAATTGTAATTAAAGGAAATGCCTTATTGAAAATACAGACAAGCCTATCTAAAAAATCACTGAAATTATACAAGGTAAACAGTAAAATATACAAGGTTAACTCAAACATCTTCAACTTCAAAAAGTTCAGTAATGTCTTCATTTAGCAATTTATGTTTAAAGTTGTTTTAATTTTGATCTCTCGCTAGGTTATACTCGTAGAATGTTGCTGTAGATTAGAACGGCTGAATCTTTTCAATCTTACAGCCACTTCCACTGGATGAAATAGTACATAAACTCTTCCATACATAAAAAGTTATGTTGCATATCTGGTTCTTATATGAAATTCATTATAGAAATTGTATTGTTTAGTGGACTTAACTAAACGTTGGGTTTTCGAGGATTGTTTCTTAAGAGTATTAAACTTGGTATATACTGCTTCATGATTAGATAGTCCTGCATTAATAATACAGTAGACTCCCTCTAGAACGACAACTGAAATGGCAGACTAATTACCTCGTTATAAGCCGATCTCGTTATATCAGACAATAATAATACTGTTCATACATGAATATGTAGTTTTCTAAAACATTAACTTCCTATAGTGAAACCATTCGGAGCAATATAAGATGCTAATAAATATTGATTGAATGGCGTTTTTGAAAAAAAAGTTGTTTACTTTTATTGTCAATGAAATACATTAAAACAAAAAATAGTTGTTTACTATTATTTTCAATGATACACGTTAAAAGAAAAAATCTGTTTACATTTTTTTCCAACTACATAATATATAACGCGTATTTTCTGCTGCTTTAAAATTGTTCAGTATTATTATATCTATTATATTTTCTGTGAAACAGTTGTATTTATTGTAAATAAGTTTATTGCGGGTGGCAGTGTTTATTGCGGGGCAGTTAAAAAGGGTATTTATTTATAACCACGGCCAGCCCAAAAACGTAAAAAACACGTTTTTCAATTTGATTTTCTGTCGTTATAACCAAATTTGCCACATGCTATAATATAGGGTTATAGTTCAATAGCAATTTCACGGGACATTTAATGTACCCCGCTACAAGCGAAACCTCGTAATAACCGTGTTCGTTATAGGGGGAGTATACTGTAGTAGAGAGTGCATTAAGGAGTGAGAAAACTAGTTAGTGTGACCAGGACTTCCAACACACTTGCTGCGTGCGATGAAGTGGTGGGGAAGAAAGAAAGTCGCTGGCCTGTCAGTACTTGCATGTCTTACCATCTAGTTTACAATGTAGCGATGGCCGTGAGAGCAACGAGGCTAAGCTGCTTCAAAACGGTGAATATTGAATGTGTTCGACAAGCGATCTTAAGAATCCACTATATTCTCCATCAAGATCTTCCATATCATCCTTAAAAAATGTGAGTTGTTTAAGCTCCTAATCCGGTTGATTTTCAACAAAAAAAAAATAGATTTTGTGAGGTTATGGTAGCCAAACTGGAAGAAAATGACCAAGTTAACTGGTGCTTGAGTGATGTGGCACATTTTCACATCTCTGATTTTGTTAATAAACAAAATTTCAGGTACTGGGCAGAGCAAACACAAGTTTGCTTCATGAAAGTCCTCTTCATACTGTAATGCCTTCATTATAATGAATGTAATGTCTTCATTTAGCAATTCATCTGTTACCTCGGAAACCTTTTTTGGATGGTGCTAGAGAGGTTACCAATGGAGACACTGCGGAAGGCAGCCAGATGGTTGGTGGAGAGCGATTCGTGGAATCGGGTTGGAATCGGGAATGGGTCCAATGGACGAAATAAGTAAAGATAGGACAGGATAAGATATAATAGAATAGATACAGAAATAAACAGAAAGATAGATGGGTAAAATTACCAAAGAGAAGATAAGATAGAAACAGGGCGCCACTTAACTTTTTGGGGTCAAAGGGGAAAATTAAGAAACCCTAGAAACGAAAAGAGGTAAGGAAAGATATTTAGGTTCTAAGACCAAACAAAAGAGAGGATATTAACAGTTACTTATTAAATAAATTTTGTCAACACTACATAAACAAATAACAAATATATTAGGTGGACTCCGTCCACCTACTTACCTATGAAACTAAATCAGCCTGATCTTCCTTCTGATCGAAGGTATAATAATAATTAAAGGTAAAAAGCAAATATTCAGAGTTATTTTATCAGGAAACTTGTCAGGAGTCGAGAAATAAAATTCATGAATAAAACAAAACTTTATTTAACACCACAATGATATAGGTAGTTGAATGTACACACAAATAAAAAAAATGCACAATCAGTTGATCAATGGTTGTATACTTACGATGGGTAACACACTAAATTTTTGGGTGTTGATACAGCATCACTGACGCAGTTTATTGTATCAACTCAGTGTGTCAACACAATTGTGTCATATAACATAGTAAGCCATTGACACTACCTGAAAGTTTGAAACCTTCCCTAAGCTGTAACATCTGTTTTGCATTTACTTAATAGCTGTGCGAGACTAACCGAGAGTTGATTTTTCACAAATAAAATTGTTTGGGAACAAAGGACATACAACGATAATAGATCAGACAGGTTGAAAACTCAAAATGTGTTTGTTAATGTTTGATTGATGAACTAGTTAGATATACTGCGACGTTGTCATTTATTGACAGCTGTCCGAGATTTGCAGAAAAAGCTAAAAGAGTGAAAAAAATTATGGAGAAAAATATGCGATATTTTCGTGGGATATAAATCAAAGTAATAAGAGCGATTGTAGATAGATAAGCCTCGAGAAAACTGACAATCACAGGATTACATAAGGTGGGAAAGAGACAAAAAGAAGAAGAGATTCGGTCTCGAAAATAGACAAAAATATTTTAATAGTTTTATAACGTTTGAAAACGTTTTGAACTTTACTGTTACAGAAATACATGAATTACTTAAGTTTTGAGAATTTCACACTGAGGAATAACGAACTGATTCACTCAATATGTTAACTAAAAAGGTATCATCTTCAGTCTGCCTATGCTGAATTGGCAACACAGCACATCACATAAGTACAGATTTCATTAGTTTAGTATTAGTTCAAGTTCATTGTAACTGTGTGTGGTTTTGTGATCGTTTTACATTATTCCTTTTTTAATAATCATCATATAAATAAAATAATCTTAGATACATTTTAAATAAGTTACCCCTTCTCTCTAGATTGAAGGTACAGTTTTCAGTGATAACAATTTTGGTGAGGTATGTAACGTTTGTTATATTTTTAGATTTTTGGATAACACGTCAATATGGCACCAAAAAAAAGTGAAATTTGGATGCATTTTTCTGAACAGAATGAAAATAAAGTCAAATGTTGGTATTATGGGCAAATATCTGTCAAAAATAAATCAACGTCTTCTTTAATCAGACACATGAATCAGAGACATCCAATGCAGCAAATCAAAAGGCAAAGAATCGAACATGAGGTGTTAAATGGTGCCCAACCTTCCACTTCAAAACAACCTACATTAGAACTTGTTGAATCTACATCATCGATAGTGCAACCTTATTCATCAACTTCTACCTCGTCTAGTATATTAAAGAAACCTCAAACTATAACCGGTTTTTTCCAAAGACTTGTGGCTATCAGTAAGCAAAAAGAAATAGACCAACAATTAATTGTTATAATTACAAAAGAATACCATCCATTTAGTATTGTCGACGATAAGGAGTTTAAGCGACTATTATTCCAGCTTTGTACAATCAAACAGTTGATCTTGTTAAAACACGGATGGAAAGAGCTTACGCAGTGTATCTCACGACTGACATGACGGTTGGATGTCACGTTCAAATGAGAGTTTTTATAGTGTTACCGCGCATTACGTAGTAGAAGAGGATAAAAAAACATTTTTATCCTCAGATCTGTTAGGATGTGTATCTTATGCGGGGCGACATACTGCTGAAAACATTCAAAACAAAATTCAACGTCTGATAGCCGAGTGGAAACTAGACAACAAAATTGCTGCCGTTGTTACCGATAATGCGGCAAATATGAAAGCTGCTGTGCGCATTGGTTGCAATGCGCACAAATGCGCACAATTGGTTGGCAATCTTGGGGTTGCTTTGCTCATTCCCTAAACCTCGTTACCCAATCAGGTTTAAAGGAAATTAGAGGTAGTAGAAAAAATAAAAAATATTGTAAGCTATTTCCGACGAAGTAGCCAAGCATTAGCTCAATTGAAAGCGACAGCAGAGCGAATGGATATACCATCACTAAAGTTAAAAAATGATGTAGTTACGCGATGAAAAAATGAATATATATATATATATATATATATATATATATATATATATATATATTATATATATATAAAGTAACGGTCGAATCTATCACTTAATAAAAGTATCTATTAAATATTTCCGTTGTATTCCAAAGTATTCATTGGCGAATCCTGTATTTTATCTGTAAAAGTTATACGTTACAACGTCTTGTACATCGTGGTTCTTGTGACAAGTAGATTCATAGATTGTAACGATTATACAATTTCAACGTGTATACAGATATCTTCTAAACTATTCTCCCGTAGTAATATGTATTAAGATTCCTTATACGGTTTTAGGACACTACAATATAATAGGTAGCATATTAGACGGTAATTTGTTAAGGATAATGGAGGCTGTCCAGTTCGGAATACCATTTGTTGGAGTACCATTATTGACCGAACACAAACCGAATATTGCAAGAGCCGTTCGTGATGGATACGGTATTGAGGTCAGTTTGGAAGATATAGATGGAGAAAATATGTTTAAAGCTCTAACGGAAATCGTAGAAAATCCTCTGTAAGTATAAATGCTACTTTTTGTGCAAATTTGTTTAATTATTGGATGTATTGATCTGATTTTCTTTGCAAAAAATTTTTATATGATATATTTATATCATAAATTATAACACAACAATTTAATATTAACTAATACCTCAGAGTCTTAATTATAGGTTCTATGTTTGACATTCGTAGGTAAGAAAGAGAAAAATGCACTGGTTAAACAGCTTCGTTCTTATAGATACTTTTTACTTTTTAATATGTAGCCAACACTAGATATCGAATTAGCGAATATACAGTATAGCAAGATACATAATAAACCTAAATAAAACAAAATCCCAAACATCTGCCAAAATTAAATAATTCAGATACTGCAGAAGTACACAAGGATTAGAAAAAGGGGCTCAAAATGGAAAAAATTAAAGAAAGTAATATACGAATCAGCAAAAGATTCCTATGGAATTAAGAAATTAACGAAAAACTAAAAGAGAATAAAGTTATGGACAAAGCTAGTAAACATTGGAATGGTCTGCGCATGTACAGAGGACGGGAGACTAAAGTTGGCCAAAAGAGTATTAGAAACTAAAAGAGTAAGACGAAAGAAAGGACGGCCCTTTCTTGGTCAGAAAAAAGTTGGCACAAACTCAAAAAAATTACGACGCCTTTGGGTGTAAAAAGAGTTAAAGAAAACAAAATTATAGTAATAATAATTATTCAGTCATTTTATTATATTTCAGTTATTATTCTATAATTAATATCTATCTCTCAAATAATTTTAGACAAAATTAGAATCGTTTTGACTTATAAGCAATGACCTTTTACAAAAAAACTCGTAATTAGTAAAATCGTTAAATTCACACTTTCTGTTAGAAAATAATTGGAATTAAAAATATTAACAGTTCATATACCATAATATTTGAATGATGTTAAATAAACACACCTGTATCAATAGGTTTAACTTAATGTCATTGCACATTTGTTAAACGGTTTTGGCAAGATGTTTGTCCTACTTAAACTATTACGAAGTGCCATTATTTCAAACCGCAAATGACAGCATCAAATATTTCATTTTTATATGGGATAAACAATGAAAAAGCGATAACAGCATCGGTAGACAATTTTATCTTGATGTATGGAGTACCAAAAAGGATAGTTACCGACCAAAACTTATAAGTTCAGACATTACTAAAAATAAAGTAACTACTCGAGTGCATAACACCATGAAAAAATTAACTAACAAAAGGGAAAATAACAGTGGTTCATGACAGTGGTAAACAACTTCATTGTAATGTTTAATGGTATTTAATATATATATATATATATATATATATATATATATATATATATATATATATTAAATATATATACTATTTAAAATTAACGTGTCTCGACAGTTTATGGTCATTGATACGGGTACAGTTTACAACATTATACATATTTTATATATAAGCATTTGATATGAAAGTATATTTTTCAGGTATAAAGCGTACGCCGAAGCTGCAGGTTTGTTTTTCATCGATCATCAAGTATCTCCAATCGATAAAGCTGTTTACTGGGCTGAATATGTCCTTAGACATCGAGGAGCTAGACATTTACAGTCCCCTGGAGTCCAACTGCCTTTATTCAAAAGACGTCTTATAGACGTTGTTATTTTGTTGACAATAATAGACATAATTCTGTTCTTAATATTCTATTACATATTCAAACGCCTTTTGCGCTGCGCAATAAATACTTTAAGGAAGAGGAATGTGGGGAAATATGACACTTTAGACGACAGTTGTGAAGAGAGTCAGGAAGGTAGCGTCAAGGGTTTGTATGTAGGCGTGAAAGATGGTTAAGCCCACTAACTGTGTGATCTTACGTTATGTAGGTTTTAATTTTTTATTGTATTCCTTTTTTTATATAGATATATACACTGTCTAAGAAGTCTAAGAAATAAACATGGTAATAGTTCACATAATATTGAATAATACGATTTGTATTGGGAGGGATAGAATGCATGTTTATGTCGATAACATCGCTACATTACGTTTTTTACAGTCATTAACGAAAGGAGCGTATATAAAATCTAGAGCTGTTCTGTTAAATTTATCGAATATCGTTAAATTAAGTAGATACTATTTTATTGGGAATAAACCACAATTAAAGGTTAAAATAAGTTTATTGACGTTTCAATTTCCACTTCGGAGAACGATTAACGAAGTGGAGAATGAAACGTCAATAAACTTATTTTAACCTAATTGTGGCTTATTCCCAGTAAAAAAGTATCTACTTAAAAATGCCACAAGAAAATAGCTTCAGAACAAAATTGTTATATTAATATTGAAAAATCCTAATCAGTAGTTTATGGGAAGGTTAGATCGTAAACAAATGGTCATTGTATATTGCTTTGGGTAATCTATTAGTACTGTTTTTACACGTTGGAGAAATTAGTAGGCAAAATATTTTCAAATATAAATATGCCTTGTTAATATTACTATTACTACGCTGAAACTACATGAGAACACGAATCACATCCCAATCAGCAGAGGAGTCCGAGAGGGTGATACCTTATCGCCTAAACTGTTTACCGCATTACTAAAATATGCTTGTAAAAAACTTAACTGGAAAGAGAAAAGCCTGAATATTGACGGTAGTATTGATAGTTTTGTTCTCGGACAACCTCAAGGACATATGTACAATGCTACATGAACTTCAGTTAGTGTGTGCCTGTATGGGTCTTAAAATAATCATCTCCAAAACAAAATTCATGACAAACCTAGTACCTAGCGAAAATATCAATATTGGATACAACGAAGTAGAGCTGGTGGAAAAATACATATACCTTGGACATGAAATAAAGATCACAAGAGACAACCAAACATGTGAGCTACGAAGAAGAATAAACCTAGCATGGACAGCCTATGGAAAACTCAAAGATATCTTTAAAAGCGATATACCAATTTCTTAAAACGTAAAACATTTGACCAACGTGTATTGTCTGTGATGACCTATGGTGCCGAAAGGAAAATGGAAAGGTCAATGCTTTAACAAGGAGTATATCGCTTCGAGACCGAGTTAGAAATGAAGATTTAAGACGAAGAACAGGAACTACTGATATAATTTCCCGAATTGCCACATTCAAATGGAACTGGGCTGGACGAGTCGCCCGAATCAATGACGAAAGGTGGACTAAGAGATTGCTTGAGTGGAGGCCGAGTAGACAAAAAAAAAGTAGAGGAAGACTCCCCACTCGTTGGACTGACTATCTCAAGAAAATGACAAGAAATTGGATAACAAGTGCTCAAGATAGAGCACAATGGACAAAAATGAGGGAGGCCTATGTCCAGCAGTGGACGCAAAGGGCTGGGTGATGATGATGAATACTACTATATCAACAGCAAGGGTAATTATAATAACCCTTTTATTATAACATGTATTTTACAACAGATGATAATCTTTTAGCTATTCTAATTTTTTCTACAGCGGCACGAGTACTTTAACGTGTTATGATAATTACTGGCAACTCAGTACGCTTTTCTAATTGCATGGCACCTAAATTTGAGTTTTACTGACTACTAAATTAAAAACTTTAAAAATTCCAAAATATATCCAAAACATTTTGCCCAAAAAAATGGTACGGTTTTTTCCCACCAATCTTCATAATATATTTATTTCTTGGACTTCCAACATATATATATATATATATATATATATAATATTATATATATTATATATATATATATACAGGGTGGTGAATCGTCAAACGGGCCATAGGAAACTCAATGGGAAATTCTAAATTGTTGAATTCCTGCTTCCCTAATTATTTTACACCAAAAGTCATTTTCATTGAAAAATTTCATTATATTTGATCTAAAATAATTAGGGAAGCAGCAATTCAACAATTTAAAATTTCTCTCATTGAATTTCCTATGGTCCGTTTGACGATTCACCACCCGGTATATATATATATATATATATATATATATATATATATATATATATATATATAATATAATATAAACAGAGTGATCAACTACTTAACTTCTTTTTGAGATGAGTTCTTTACCTCCGTCTTCAGGAGAGCTACAGGTTATAGGGGTTATTGTATAAAATCATCAGAGCTGAGCTTCAAGCTTCAAGAGTCTTCCCCGGCCACTACTAAAACATGACTGTCAATCGAATTTTATATGAAAATTTGTATTGCCAATATAGAGTAGTAGTACAAAAGAGTAAAAGGAACAAAGAGGTGAGATAGATTAAAGAAATCATGGGTGCAGGACATGGAGGAATATTTGAAAACGGTGCAGGTCATCGGTGGGGAGCTGTAGCGAAATGGGGAGGAGACTGAAGGCGAATTGTGGAAGAATCCAAAACTCATCAGGGATTGTAGCATCGAGGAGGATAATGCCTATGGGGATAAGTCTGTTCCCGCCTGTAACTCTGACGTATTTATTTCTAGAACTATTTTGTTATATATTAAAAAGAGAAAATGATATAAACACGAGGTAAAAATTCTGTCAGTGAACAAAGGATAGATTGATCACTCTGTACACGTGATAATATTGTATTGTTCTCGTTACCTAAATATAGTCTTGAGGTATTTTATTAAAACTTGGCTGTGTGTCGAAAGGTGAGAGATTAATTGAAAATATGCAAGAAATATTTTCTAAATTACTCAATATAATGTAAGCTAAGTTTTTTGAATAAATATGTTTAAAAATTTAATAGTGTTTATATTTGATACCTAAGAAGGAAAACTTTTCGACCAAATATGTTCATCCGTTAGGCGCTAGAATACTAGAACCAGCAAAAAAACGGGAAAGGAAACACGGATGGCCTGGATGTACGGTCTCACTCCACGAATATTCATCTTGACGAATTCAGGAGCTTTGAAGATGGCCTGTACATCAAGGGTCGCTGAAAGATTTTCGACGAACTCCATGTTGTCGGTGGGCAAATTGATAAGATCCAGCTTGCTGTAGATATCGTAGATAATATATGGTGCGTCGAAGGACTCTTGGATGTCGATTGAGTTTTTGATATTGCCAAAGAAGAGTCTATTGCAAGATTTAATCTGAACCAAAACAATGGAATTTCCTCAAAAAGCTCTTAATATCCGAACCACACTCCCTATGTGTTATTTATTATGCGGATTCGATGTACTTGCCAAATATTTGTGTCATGCGTGTTATTTATTTTTAATGAATCTCATTCTCCGTCTTTGAATCCTCTGTTTTCCATGGCTTCATCTACCTCATCTCTGAAAGATCTTCTTGGCCTGCCTCTTTTGCGTTTTGCTATGGGACTCCACTCTGTTATTTTTGCTATCCATCGGTTTGGGTCTGTTCGTCTGACATGTCCGTACCACGTTAATCTTTTTTCTTCAATGTAATTTAAGCTGTCTTTCTTTATCTCTATTCGTCTTTTGATTTCGTCGTTAGTTATTTTGTCAATTCTGGAAACTCTGCAGCTTCTTCTCCAGTAGTCCATTTCTGTGTCGTTTATTTTGTTTCTTCTGCTTTTGTTTAAGGCCCAATTTTCTGCTCCATATGTTAGAATGCTGCGAATCATCGTGTTATAAATTCTTTTTTTATTATGTGTCTGTCCCATAGGATTGGATTCAGTTGTCTTATAGAGTTTTCTGGTTTGATCCAGTCGATTTTTAATTTCTTCTTCTGTAGTACCTTTATTTGATATAATGAACCCCACGTATACTCCATTCCACGAATATACGACTGTTTTAAATTCACTTTAAGGTGTCGACTTAAATGGTCCAATGTGCTGCATTGTACAGTAGTAAATTCTCCCCATTTTTAAAATACTGTTACGACAGATATAAACCTTAGATTTAAATATGAAGTCATGATATAAATATAGAGTTGATAGTTTATATAATAGTTGTAATTCAGAATTTAAATTATATAATTACTATCATTAAGTTTAGTATTTTAAGCAAGTTGGTGTTTTAATTAAGTGATTTAAACGAAGTGATTAAATACTTAAGTGATTAAATAGTGTACTTTATTTAGTCGAATATTCAATTAGTATTAAAAAAAACAAAAAAACTTACTTGTTCTCTTATTCACCTAATCTCCTAAAACTACTATCAACCATCAGATTCACAGCCATAATCACTGTCGTCGCTATCCTCATTTGGATGGTAAATTATAATAGGATTAACTGCTTCGATGCGACCTTCACGGATCCACCATTCTTTAATTAAGTCTTCACATTTTTTTACACTTTTTCCCCAAATTTCAGGAGTGGCAATATCCAATGCTTGTTGCCATGTTTCCAAGACTGCCTCGTCACTGTAACCCTTGTATCCAATATGGTTATCATAATATGTTTTGCAAATCCCCCAAATATATTCAATTGGATTGAATTGGCAATGATAGGGCGGTAGTCTTAACACACGATGTCCAAAGCTATGTATAATTTCGTCTACTATATATATGTTTGGTTGTGCATGACTTTTAACTAACGTTAGTAATTGAGGCTTAAAACAGTATTGAGGAAATGTAATATTTTTATTCGTTAACCATTCTTTTATTTTATCTACAGTCCAGGTGTTTGTTGGTTGCTTATTTAAAATTTCCGAATGATACGCAGCATTATCCAGTACTATAACTGATGGTTCATGTAAACTTGGCAACAGTTTTTCTTTCAACCATTTAACAAACATCTCCGTATTCATATTGTCATGATAATCGGCTGATTTTGATTTTGATGAAAACACAAGATCTGCTCCCTCAATAAAACCATATTTCCACCTGCATGTACTATAATATATCTCTTTCCCTCGTTATCGATGTGTTTTATGGATTTTATACTCTCGTCCTGCCACATTCGTTTGATACCGCCTTTAGCAAAAATCCATGTTTCGTCTAAATAAACGAAGGAAGAACATTCTTCTTTAAATTTGTTGTAATTTCTTAAAAATTCTATTCTTTTGTGAACGACACTAGCTCTTTCACACAAAGCCTTTCTATTGTCTTCCTTTTTGAACTTAAAGCCAATCTGTCTTAAAACTCTCCAGAGACTTGTTCTGGAAATTTCAAATATATTTCTGTCTTTTAATTTTTGTAGCACTGAATCTAAAGAAACATTTTCTTTCTTTTCGCGCATTTTATATATTGTCTCACGGATTTCAAATTTGCAACCTTCGGGAAGATCTATAGTCTTTGGTTGTCGGCGAGATTTATATTGTGCGACATTTTGTTCACTTTGTCCACTTTTTTTTTTCTTTTTGCAAAACCGACTTTAGTTTTGTTTCACTAATACAGAGTGCATCACACACACGTTTATGTACGGACTCAACAGGTCGCAAAGGGCCCCGTTGGTTTTCTCAGCAGTAAAATAAGAAAGTACATTAATTATAAACTTGTCTACATCTAAAACACGTCTCGGCATTTTTAGCTTCAATAAACAAATACACTATACTAAACTCTATCTTAACGGACACCTCTCTTCACCGGAAACCCCTATACGGATGGTTTTTAAAACTAAAATCAGTCGGCGATATATGAAACTGTATGTAAATTTTCGTTACTTTTTAATATCTGTAACGACTCGGTACTTTAACTATCAATAGCCGGTATATTATACCCGTTATAAAAAAACTTTCGGAACTTAAGAGTACATCCACTCAAACCAAACAAATATTTAAAACTAACAAAGTGAACTATTATATAGATTCTATTTCTGGTTTCTGAACCATCCTTCTGCCAATTTCTTTTCATTTATAATAAAAATGGTATATTTATTTTTATTACAGTTCTCTTACCTAATAAAGTAATAAAATATAATATCAAAGAAACCTGGCGCGCCTGTTTGCATTTATTTACAAATGTTTACATTTCAAATGCACTTTGTTTACATTTCACCGAAATCCAAGCCAAATGTCTGATGAACACATTTTCGTAAAAATGACCGTTTGCGAAAAAATGTTTGGTATTTTCGGATTAAATTTCACAATAAATTTTGCGTCTATTTGTACATCTATTAACTGAAATAATTTTAGTTCAGATGTAATACTAACAGTAGATGCTTTTTATTGGAATAATAATTAGACCAATTTACTTTCATACTTCTACTTGCACAGTAAAATATTCGTTGTCGCAATAATCCCAAACAGTCGTATATTCGTGGAATAACCTATATTTAAATATATCGGTCCCCTTTATTTCACTCCCGTCATCCACTTCCAGGTTTCTTGTGTTGTGTCTAGATATTCTGTTTTGTTAATGTTTATTTCCAGACCATTTATATTATATTCTTCTAATTTTCGAACCATATAGCTTCGATCTTTCTCGTCTTGTACTATTATGACCTGATCGTCGGCGAAACTGAGGGTATACAGATGGTCGTTCCTTATGGGTACTCCCATTTCCTCACATTTCCTTTTCCATGGCTTTAGGGCGTATTGAAAAATATTTTTAAAGAGTGTAGGTGAAGTCCCTGTAGGAAGCAGCCCTGTAGGAGACCTTTCGTGGTTTTAAATGGTTTTAAAAACTTGTTACCTACCTTGACTGTAACATTATTATGTGTGTACATAGACTTCACTACATGGATCAGCTTATCTTCTACTTCTATTTGTTGCATGGCTTCCGAAAGTCGTTGTCTGAGCACAGAGTCGTATGCCTTTTTTAGGTCAATAAAGGCTAGATGGACTGTTCTTTGCCATCTTCTTCTCTATTAGCTGATGTATAGTGTAGATGTGGTC